AATTGAATAATGAATGCAAAGTGGCCGGGCCCGAAGGACTTCCAAATGCCAGTTAGCAAGCCGACTGGCCGGGGGGTTAAATGAATGGATGAGGGCCCCTCCTGCCTGTCGATGAGGGGCACTTGTTAGGTGGGCGTGGCCATAGCTGCTCAATGAAATGCATTAAATCAAGGCATCGTCCGCCCAGCAGGTGCCCCCCAAAAGTAGTCAACGAAATGGAAATTTCCCATCGGAGCACGGGGTGTGTTTTGCTGTAAACATCAATTACGCCGCCCAAACTATTCACGCGATTAGCCGCGTTCTCTAGTTATTGGATAATAGCCCCAGTCAGGGGTATGGGGGCTCAGGTTTCGGTGGGAGAATGGAATGGAGATGGGGGGACATGGGCGCCGGAGAGGCTTACGCTGAATTGAATTAACGGGCGCGTTGTCTGGGCCGGACTGTGGCGCTGTAAATTTCCCAGCAGTGCATCTGATAAACTCGACATCGAGGCCCCGAAACGCTGGCTCTCTCCGGAACTGGAAGAAGGATCTGAAGGAGGAAGGGGTTGGGGTCCGAGGTAGCCAGGAGCCCACACACATACACACGCACAGTCCCAGGAGGAGCCGGCCCAGACGTAGAGTTATTTCAACGTAACAAGAAATGTAAAACAGACAGAACGACTCAGTGCTGCACTGGGGGAAAATAGAGTGCTTAAAGGCTGAGTAAAGTCTCTGTAGGTTTACCTAAATATTAAATTTTACGAGGCTGTCTTAAAGACGATAAAAATGTACATAAATCAACCTTTAAGGGATCAAAAACTCGTATAAAGGTGTATAAAATATGGCATCAATTAAATGCATATCTTAATATTTATAGGATGTCATTAAATAACAAATAAATATAATGTCAAAAGAGTTGTAGAAGTAGTTTTAAATGATTAACACAACTTGAACTATATTTAAAGTTCTTTTTATCCTTTTAACATCTCTAATTAAATAACCAAAGCTTATTTAATCGTTAGTTCCTTTTTTAAACGTTCAATAATACTTGAAGTTAAACAAAAAAACACTCGTTTAAGAGGCTATTCTTTGCGTAAAGATTAAATCAAATAAATAAATGCAATATGCCAAGAATATCCATAAAATAATCATCATAAATCAAAGCATTTACTCCCCCTTCCTTTATTTCTTTCCTTAAATTCAAAAGCTCTTTAAAAACATTTATTTATTTGCTTTAAGTTCCTTTTGGGTATTTTTAATCTTGCTCTCCATTCAGCTTAGAATGTAAGGCTTAATTGAAAATCACGATTTTATTTATATGCCAAATCTCTTTATATGAAAGTGCTCCTCAGTTTGGGCTTTGAAGCGCAAAGAAATAAACTTTAAAATTCTCGACTTGATTTCCTTTTTTTGGCTGTGTGCGCGTGTTGAGCGGAGAGTTTATTGCTGCGCTCGGCGCTTCTCAGCTTGGTCTGGTCTTAAAAGCGAAAAGCCATTTGTATTCATTTGAAATTAATTTAGCATTCATTCAAGGCAACGGAAGCGGGCTCGGTCCGCACCTCCAAATACACCCCCGGCACCCAGTCCCCCCCAGCCACCATCAAAGGCCTCCATTAGCCCCGATGCCGCCCCTGTGACGTCCCCATTCGCTGTGAGCAATAAATGGCGTCGGCGAGCTAAGCAATGGATAAATACGTGTACGTGGCATACATTTCGGAGGCGACGACGTCTGGGGGTCCTTGCCTACTTTCGCTTATCGATAAGCAGTTGAAGACAGAGCCTCCGCCTCCGCCTCCGCCTCTGCCACGAAGTCCATGTTCACGTCCATGTCCACAGCCACATCCACATCCTTGTAGCCCCCACCCAAACCCATTTCCCAGACTAGTCGTTGGCAATTGAAACTACCACAATGCAGAGGCAACGACAAGGCCTGCTCCACTAATTTTAACAAATTAATTGGCAACAATAAATTCGCTGGCGAAAAGGTGAGCAGATAACATCGCAGCGGGTGAGGGTGTGGGCACAAGGGGGTGGATAGATTGCTCCACTAATTTGATTTCTTGAATGGGCCGGCGAGCGTTAAGTATTGCCACGTAGTCGATATATCCCCGACACCCAGTAGATAGCGGGTGTAACCTTTTAAGTGGGGCATAAAGGGCTAGGAGAAGTTTAAGCTTAGTATTTTTGATTTAAAATTAAACTTAAGACTGTTTTCTATATTAATAAGTAATTTTGATTGGTTTAAATGAAAGAAAAATAACTTTTGAATATACTGAAGTAAGAAATATCATACATCTTAGATTTGTTAATAGTAAGATGGAGTTTAGATGTATATTTTTAAGTATTTTCTAATGATATTATGACACTGAATGGTTATTTAATTGGTCAGGATTCAAGTTAAATAGGAGGATAAGCTTTAGGTTTCAAGGGAGCCTAATAAGAGACAACTTTTTAAGCCGTTTGAACAATTTTTGTTCTTTAAAGAATGGTCAGATCAGTCAGATCACATTTGCTTTTAATATAAAATGTTATTGCCCTATTAGTAATGTTTTCTAAAACATGTAATTTTTATATTAGCAAAAGCTATAATTAGTAAGCTAAAAAACTGCTGCATATGCAAATTACAAATTACAAATTACAAAATGTTGATTTTGTCGTGCATGAATCCTTATATATTTTTTACTCTGTCCCTTTTGACCCGATTGCGTGCTGACTTAATTATAGAATTTGTAAACTGCTTAGCGGGATGCCCGCCCCTGCTATCTGGACGCTCGCTGTATTCCCATTTCAATTGTTTGGTAATGGAATTCTATAATCAAATGTCAACCCAAACACACACGCGCACTACCACAAACACAAACACTAACTAACACCAACGCAGACAGGGGGGGCTATAACAACTTTAATCATTCGTAATGGCCGCTAGGTGGCGTGTCAATTACAGGGCCATTGTCTGTCAATTCTCTGCTGCACTGGCTGGCTCGCTTCCTCCCAGTCACTCGCCTGCTCCGAGAGCCTCTTTCTGTCCCTTTCTTAGTGCCCTGCTCATTTGCATTGCGTCGTTGTTGCTGCTTGTGCTGCCGCTTTGTTGACCGAGGCCGAGGCCTACAGGGCATTCTCCAGTCAAGCACACTCGACTTTATCGGGCTCGGACCGAACAGGCGGTCTTCCGATATCCTTGTGGGGGGTATTTTAATTGTGAGCAGAGGCTTGTGGAGGGCACTGGGGGAGTCATTTATTATTAATTATTTAACCTTTAAGGTGTTTAAGTATATGCTAGTTGACAGGTAAATCGATCAAGATTTGGGATGGGAGAGCATATCCATGTACTGATAAAGTTTCGATAAGTTTAAGACGAAATGCGATATATAAAGCGATACTTTGTTTAAAGAAATCAATTTATTGGAGAAATGACACGATTGAAAAAAGTAGTAGTATTTGGATATATTTTGATAAGATCGATATTATAATTTTAAGCCCCTTTTAAATCGATATTTTTCGATATTTAAAATTTTGGTGTATAAAAGATTTCAATAATTTTGATATCATATAAATAGATATATATATTCCTTTATAGCATATCAACCATTTCCAACCAAGTGTCTTACTGATCTTGTACCTCCCAGTAAGGCCATAATACTTAAACTAATGCTACAAAAGTCGAAAAATAATCACTATATACTATAAATAATGCCTTAAACATCAATCAAATTGAGTATTATATTTTTACAAGGGTATTTAATCTTCTGTTTGCCCAAATTTACTTCATTTCTTGTAATTTATGAGCTCGTAAGGCATGCGTTGAAATGCCCGCCTCTGGTTTTCGGAAGGGGGTTTGGCCACTGGGGAGGAGGAAACTGTTAAGGGGGGTCTACCGAAGGGTGGCTAAAAGGGAGGAGGAAGAGGATACGCTTTCGCCAGCCACATTTGCGGGCCATAACACGCAACATTTGACATGGCCGGAGCAGCAACAAAAAGCGGCGAGGCACAGGTGTTGGTTGCACCTCCCTCCCCCTTACGGTTACCCCCTTTACCAATAGCAACAATTCCCCTCACCCCCCCTGTTACCAACACACATACATCTCTCTCGAGTGCGACGCATGTACATAAACAGAAATTGGCCTATAACTGTCTGTTCAATTGTTTCTGCCTCGTCTAAGGGGTAGGAGGAATTTGGCAAAAAAGGGATTCCGATGCCGATTCCGATTCCGATTCCGATTCCCCTATACCATTACCTATACCTATATATTGCGGTAAAAATCACATTTCCATGGCCCGGCGTAAATCATTCATGTGCGAGAACGACGACCAAAAGAAGGGCCAGGGGCCAAGAGCCAGGAGCCAGGAGACAGGAGACAGGAGAGAGTGCCGCCGAGCACCGACGTAAGGGAGAGACGTGCCCCGAAATGTAGACTATATTAATATGCCAAAACGAAGGCGTCTCTACTACGAATATTCATTTGTACGTGACTATGGAGCATATTAGGTTCGTCTGGCCACGATTTGCGCTCGGATTCTGTTTCGGCCTAGGGTCTCGTGTCTCGTGTGTCTCGCATTGAGGCAGGTTGTGCTAATAACCCAGATAGTGCCGAAAGAGACGGCGGTAGAAGAGAGTTCCCAGCGAGAGAGAGAGAGAAACGATCCGACTTTCTGTGGTTAAGGGATAAGCGACTCGAGTCGAGCGGGAACCCTTGACTTGACTTGCCTTGCCTTTCTTGCCTCAAAAATAAAATTGCTCATTAGGCATGCAAAGAAAGAGGCAACAAATGGATGGCAAATTAATATTTGATATGCTTCGGCTTTCGAGGATTTCCTCTCATCCTACAGCTCTCGGTTGTCGGCTCTTTCGGCTCTCGGCTTTCGGTTGTTTCGACTCTCTGACTTCCGGCCTGCGCCTGCGTCAGAGAGCGCCTTCGGAGTCACCGTTTTCGGAGTCACTTGTCCGAGGACGAGTCCAAGTCCGAGTGCAAGTCCTGTGCTCATGCCGAGATAGACACGGAATCAGTTCCAGCACGCGAATCCTGCCGCTAGGATGCCCGTAAACGCTGCTCCTTTATCGCCGGAGTACACAGTCACTGGGAAGGGCAAGGGGCAAGAGAACGATAAAGAGAAGGAGAAAGAGAAAGTGCTACTAGCATCGCAGCGCATTGTGCCACATTTAAAAATGAAAACAGACGAAGGAATGAAGTGAAGGCGCAAGCCAAAAGCCGTTTAATAACTAAATCCCACGGAGCCATCGTTGGTCACGTTCCGAGACGGATACACAAAAATGCCACCTCTCTCCGCAGCCATGTCGGTGTCTGTGTGTGTCGGTGCGAGTTCCGTTGTGTATTGGTGCGGGTGTGCATACCTATAGGGTCTCCTGGCTGGCCTGGCTGACTGGCACCTAATGTGGTAACATCCACATACACACATCGGTGAAAATAATAATACAAAGCCCTCGTCCTTGTCGCTACTCGCCGCCAGTTGCCTGTCATCGTGTGCGTGCCCGTGTCCGTATCCGTGTCGGTGTCCGGGGTCCGTGTCCGCGACCGCGTTCGCATCCGCGTCCCTGTGTGGATCTGTGTCCCCCGCCAAGCGGAAATATTTTCGAAATCCGTGTTATTAAGCCACGCACACAAAGAGTCAGACCAAAATAAACCTAGCGCTGGTCGCATTGTTGAACGGATTGATTGGTAAATTGTTGTACGTTGGCATTGATTGGTGAACTGTGTGTGTGTCATTGGTGAATTGTTGAGAGAATTGTTGAATACCTTTCGAGAACTGTTGATTGGACGCGCCATGGCGCCTAATTATTGCGCGTTGCGCAATCCCATCCCCGTGGTAAGCTCCGGATTAAGCCAGCAAGAGTAGTAGTTCAGGCAACCGCAGGACAAAGCGCAGCAGGAGTTAAGAGCCGGACTTCGGGGGATGATGACGTTGGTGTCATTTGGAAGTCATTGCGGAGACCCAGTAAGTGAAGGAATTTAATTTAATGCTCGGCAAGGACTAAGGGGCAAGGGCAAGCGAGAAAAACAAACAATAAATAGGGTCCCGTACCGGACAAACTGTGCGGTCGTCCTTTGTCCGCCTTTTCCGTTTGACAGGTCTGAAAAGTTAGGAAAAGAACAACAGAATAATGTTGTTCGCTAGCCGGATAAAAAAATACAACAAAAAAAAAACTTTTGTTTAATTTCCATGGAGAGCAAGAGAGAATGGGAAGGGGAACTGCGGCGGACATGGCGGCCAGGCGATAATTCCGCTGTAATAGCTGCGAAAAAATGAAGCCCGCGAAACCTTTTTCCTGGGAACCGAGGGACCCGTAACCAGGGACAGGGACAGGAAGGAGGCCGGGCGACGGCCCGGATACCAAGAAACCAGGCAACCAAGGAGCCGACGCGATGGCTGAAAGGCCAAAAGTGACCAAAACAAATGGCGGCCGCCGGACCGAGGCTTTGACCCTTGGAGTCACGCAGCTAATTGGACTGACAACAAATGTATATTTTTGAGTAATGACCGGGATTATGAAAGACCGTTCTAGGCGCCGTCCTTCCCCCAGACCTTCCGCCAACTGACTGATTACTGAGTTGGAGTCATAAATAATGAGAGGGACAACGTCGAGGACTCAGACTCAGGGGAACCATGGCAGCAGACTGACAAATTTGCAAAAGGAAGGAAAATCGGAGGAAGGGAAATATCGAGTTTATCCAGATAAAACTATATAGTTGACAAGGTCGTTTAGCCAGGAGCTCAGTTAGGGAAACTTTTTAATTTCATCCTTCACAAAGTTTTTCGACTTTTGCTCAGTTTTCCATTCAACGGTACCCCCATCCTTCTCCCGTGCCCCATCATCTTTTGTCCTTTGTGCCTCCCCGTAATTGCCTTAGCCGCATTGCAACGAAATACGCTTGAGCGTGGCCCCCATACCCGTACCGTAATGTCGCCCATAAATGCAGATCCAGTGGCAGCATAGTTAAGTCACTTTGTTGCCTGGCAACCCGGCGGAGTTGTCGACTCGAAACTGAAAGTTGAGGCTGCACAACAACCTCATCCGGCATTAACCTCATTAACCCCCCATTCAGACGAATTCCCTGGGACGATTCTCGTTTCGTTAATTGGAATTGCGGTGCAGTCAGATCCATAAGTATGCGTACACAAGTCGCCGGGAATCAATAAATAATGTTGAATCGTTGAAATGTGGAAGACGTTTCACAGAATAATATTGTGTGTGGCTGAATCTGTTGGGTGGCGATTTATTTATAATTTATTCTTGGCACAGTTGGCACACCAAATTTGTCGATTGCTGACCCAATTATAAAACTAATTCTTCTGATAATTCATTCACCCGCTCTCAACTGGCATACAATATTAATTCAATTGGAGTGCCAAAATAATACTTTAATTTTTACGATAAACAGACCAATTTTGTTGCCAATTAAGTTGACAATTGGGAAAATTAATGGAACAATATTGGGAATAAATCGGTGAGAGGTCAAACCTAATAACATGTTGAAAATGACGTAATCTTTTATACACTGAAACACAAATACTCGATTTATCGCTTTAAAATAAACAATTTTAATATATCGTTTTATATAGCAACATTTATGTTAAACTTCGATATCATATCGATAAATCAAAATTTAATTGAAATTTATTTTGAATAAATTTTTTCCACGACTTATCCCAATTCAGTTCTTTTTTAATTAATATTTCCTTAAAATTAAACCCAATTTACGTAACATTATTAGAATGCTTCGAAGACCCCCAATGCCAATTTCTACGTTTCATTATGTATCTTTTTATGTTTATCGTTATTATTCAATCTTTTAACCATCTGAGGGCAATGAAACGCACTGTATTAAACAATTGCCTGCGATGGGCATGGCAATTTGCCGTCTGCTGGCGAAAAAGGAAACATATTGGCTGTGCCCAGGCAGCACTCGCTCTCCATCCCATATCCTGGATCAGGCTGCTTCCATCATTTGCCCGGCAAATTACTTTCCCATTCCCTTGTCTCATTTCCAGGCGGGTCGTCCTTCGCCTTTGGCCCCATAAAAAAAGCGCGCTGGTAATAATATTTCCTCCTTTGCAGATTATTATTAAACCTTAAACCGTAAACGGAGCGAGCACAGCAGTGAGCCGCAGCGGAGGACTCCGCCGTGCCACCAGCACCAGCAGCAGCAGTAGCTGTAGCCAGTAGCCAGTAGCCGAAGCAGTCCGAGTGGAGAGCATAAACCATGTGGACAACGGACTGCCCGAGAGCGTTGAAAGCGATTTGCCTGGTGCCGCTGTGGCTGTTCCTGCACCTCGGTGAGTTTTTCCATTTTTATGCCATGTTTGTGGTAGGCACAGAGAGAAAATATATTATTATTTTGCTTGGAGTTAATAAGATAATTCATTAAAAAAGAGACTAAGTGTACACAACTTAAAAACCCCAAAATAAATGCTCTTATGAAATGCCATACAATTTGTATATTAATTGAAAATAATAGATTGAAATAAACTCGTCGAATATTACTTATAATTTGTATTAAATTTTGGTTATGTATTTATGTGAACAACTAATTGCATTATTTATTTAATTATCAAATAATCCAGCTTACATTTTTAGGAATTTTAATGTGTTTACAAAATAGTTTAACAATTAAATCTTACAATTTAAAATTTCAGAAATTTCGGCCTATTAAAGTGGAAAATCCACTTAAGAGGCTTACTTCAAAGTTAACTGATTAAAATTATTTAATTATAAAAAACAAAATCAATTAAATTATGTTTGAAGGACGGCGGCAATCATGGTTTATTTATTAAAATATTCATACATATAGTTTTTTAGTTATTGCAAAAGTTCACAAAAACGGCTTGTGAAATTTGAGCGCAGAAGTATTTTTGTTCATAATTTCATTGTGCATATGGTGAATATATTAAGTAATTAAATAAAAAAATGCGATATGAGATATCCATGAAACAACTTCTTTTAAATAATCAGCTTTAAATAATACTGTCAAAATGTCAATCAATTAAGGATTAAACTTTTGCCACCAATAACCAACGTGTAGCCTCTCCTGATAAAAGAACTTTTTAAATAATATTTATCAGATTAAATTGTATCTTTCAGGACAAAGTAGCTGTAAGAGATTTTCTGCAAGTGCTGGAATTAATGCGCGAATGCATCCTTTGTTTGCTTACAGATTGCGGCCTGGTTGGCGGCGAGGTGCCGCCGCATTACTGGGAGACACCCTACTCGCAGCCGTACTTCGACAACTCCTCGAGGCGCGAGGTCACCGCAACCGTGGGCCAGGCAGCCCTGCTGCACTGCCGCGTCCGGAATCTGGGCGATCGAGCGGTAAGTGGGGTCGGGTCGCCAGCAATTAATATGCCCGGAGAGAGGGGGGAAATGGACGGGTCCGGGTCCGGCATTATATTCGCATAAGGCATAAGGCAAAACAAACGACCTGCGGCGGTCGTGTGGCAGATTTGTAGATTACTTTTAAAAGATTACGCCATAAAGTTGGTGGTTGGATGGTTGCCCCAATGCCCCCCGGAATGCGCCCCCCCTCCCTTTCACTCTTCGGACACCCGCTCCCCCCGCCGCCTTTGTGTGTTTGGCTCGCTCTGGTTTGCACATTTGTAACACGGCTTCGCTTCCGCTCTCGGCGATTTGTTAGCAATGCAACAACACACAGGACCCGTGCCACCTGCCGACCCACAGTCCCAGTCCTGGTCCCTGTTTCAATCCATGACCATGTCCATGTCCAGGCCGAGTCCTCACCACCTCCTCGCCGACCTTTTGTCCCGGCCAGGCGCTCTGTGGCTGTGCAATTATGCGGTGTAATAAATTTTACGTTGTCCGTGTCCGCCTCCTGGCCCCCCGCCCGCAGCGGAGTCGGAGTCGGAGTCGAGTCCCACCCCCCGCCTGACAACGATGTCAGCAACGCTCGTTCGCCCGCCCAACTTTCAGCAAGTCAGTGGAATTGAGTAATTAACGCCGTGCTGGAGCCGTGCTGGAGCTTGGAGCGGAACTGAACTCTGCCCTAATCCTCCAGCTTGGGCATTGTCTCCCGTTATATGCGGCTAATTGGCGGTGTCTCCAGCACGTTGCATTCTCAGTTCGCTCTGTACTCCGTGCTTTGAGCTCCTTTGCTCCTTGCTCCTGACTGCACGAATCCCAATTCGAGATCCATTTTCCAGTCACTCAGAGTTTCTGTGGCATGACACCCACCCACAGACCCTGTGCCACCGAGTTCCGTGCTAATTGATTGTCGCAATATATGCACGACATGAAAATTTCCCTCTAAATGGGATTTTTCGCATTTCGTTTCGCATACTTCGTGTGTGCCAGCCTCAAAGGAAAATGTCAACGAAAAGGAAAACTAAACGAAGCTTAATCACTTTGGCAAAAAATTTAGTTCAAGTGAAGTGAACTAGTTCAGAGGTATATTGCTTAGTGACAGCGTTTAAGGAGAAAACTTGGTTAAAAACTGAGAGCTTTAAATTGTTTATTTAAAGTAGAGAGCTGAGAAAATGCACATTAATTCCTCCTAAATAATAGATTTCTTTTTATTTAGTTCGACTTTTAATTACATTATTAACCTAAGGGTTTATTTAAAAAAGTTTTCCAGCTAAAATGAAAATTGCTACGTTGAATTAAATTCAAACCATAAAAAGCTTAATTATTACTAAAATATTAAACATAAATCAATCATTTTACATTTTTCCTACAGAGTACAAAAACCATATTTATTATTTCCCCTCTGATTAATCATCTAAGCAAACATTTAAAAAGCCAATCGTTTATCAAGATTTTTTCTTCTTTTAATTAATATGTATCTTGCAATCTAAATACAATTATTTTCTGTATTACAAACTCAATTTTTTCTATTTCTTTTAGTTTTTGTTTGCATTTATCAATCATTGCGTGCTATATGGATTATGTATTATGGATATATGTATTAAATGTGGAAAATTCACTTAGTAAACGTGTTAATTGGTTGGTTTCACTTGTTTTTTTTATACATTTTCTGTGCATTAACCAAAGGAGTCGCCTTGAACTTATTTGCACTGGGGAAATGCAATTAATTTTAATTGAATATTGAAAATTAGTGAACGGATGGTTAATGAACGAATATTAATTTAAATATAAATCAAGCGGGCTCTTTATGTGCACGGCTGTGCACGGCCAGGCGCTAATCCATAATTAATTGGACCCAAACAAACGAGCAAATTAAGCCAGGCACAAAGCGAGAGCTTCGCTTCGCTCATTTCTCTACTGGCATAAGCAACTCCTTCCTATTACTATATAGATCTAGATATATATAGATGTACATGAAACTACTCCGGGACTGAGCCGCACTAAGTAACCCAATTGCAGCCATAAATTAGAGCCCAGACAAAGCCGAAACAGGCAATTAATGAATTTCTAGTTTTCCCCGCTGCCTTTCGCCTCTCATGCTGCCACGCCCACAAATGGGAAAACTTTGGGCAACCATTTAAAGTTGCTCAATTTGCTTGGTGGCCAAAGTATCCTAGGCATCCTTCAGGTAGAGCGCAAGAAGCTCACAAAGACCCGGAGGCAGGAATCCTTTTAAGCCCGAACACACTTTTGTTGCTGGCGAAAAATCCAGCTAATTATAGGAACATATAAAAGAGCATTTATGTTATTATTTTGGGGATTTGCTATTGGGAGTTTGCTGCTCCACTGAATGTTAAGCGAAAAGTTTTTTATTCCTGGCACTTAAAGTTCTGGCCAAATTCGTATTTATTCCCTGGAGATACATATTTCAAAATGTCATAACATGAAAGCGTATCCAAAAACTTGCCACGTGCCAAAGTTTAGTACTTTGTTGGCCGATTTATGAAGGATGCCAATAGTTTGTACTATTTTTAGCCGAAAAAAAACTAAAGCTTAAAATACAAGATATTAATCTCCATTGTGTTGGTCCTTAAGTGGCATTTACACATGGAAATTATATCCCCTTCTTTCTAGGAACATCATAAATATTTCCCCACACGAATATAAAAACCATTTCGTAAAATTCGTGAAGGCAGGCCACTCCTTTTGAAGAAACACGAAATAATTTTTCATCTGAGATTTTGACAGGTGCATGCAAGTAAAGCAGTTCAGTAAAGGTTTGCTTTAAATTTGTATTCATTTTTTGTACAAGTTTGCATTTTTGTAGGTCACTTTTATTTGGAACATAAAAAGGTTACAACATAAAATTAATTGCTTTTCTTGCTAAAAAAGAGTTTAAACTAGAATTGAATTTAATTAAAAATATATAAAGAAATTCTAGTTTTATAAACAAAAACTAATTTTCTCATATGTTCTCACAAGGAATATTTATTTCCAAAACATAATCAATTGGGCTTTGTGTTATTTGCAACTAAAGAGGTTAAAAAATAAAATTGATTGCTTTTCTTGCAAAAAAAGAGCTTAAACTAGAATTTAATTTAATTTACAAAACAAATATCTATAAAGAAATTCTATTCTTATGCTAAAAAGCCAGATTTTCTCATATGTTCTCACAAAAGAATATTAATTTCCAAGCTGTAATCAATTTATGGCCCTTTACTGATGAGTTTTGTGTGTGGGAAAATTTCCTTAAATGAAGGAAATAACTTTTATGCCGGAAGAAACTTAAGCTAATGTGTTCGGGGTGAGGGAGAGCTGCTTCAGCTATATTTAATGGCTATTTACTCTTCCTCCTCTAGGTGTCCTGGATACGAAAGCGCGACCTGCACATCCTTACGGTGGGCATACTTACCTATACAAACGACCAGCGCTTCCAGTCGCTGCACTCCGAGGGTTCCGACGAGTGGACGCTGCGCATCTCGTCGCCCCAGCCCCGTGACTCGGGCACCTACGAGTGCCAGGTGTCCACCGAGCCCAAGATCAGCCAGGGCTTCCGCCTCAACGTGGTGGGTGAGTATCGAACCAAGTGGGAGCTGGAGCGGAAGAAGAAGCCCCCCATTAGTTGGCCATTTGTTGGGCGGAGTGCTAATTAATTGCCTGCCTCGTGTGGCTTTTTATCACCTTTCGCTTCGCAGTGTCGCGGGCCAAGATCCTGGGCAACGCGGAGCTCTTCATCAAGAGCGGCAGCGACATCAATCTCACCTGCCTGGCGATGCAGTCGCCGGTGCCGCCGTCGTTCATCTACTGGTACAAGGGCAAGCGGGTCATGAATTATAGCCAGCGCGGTGGCATCAACGTCATCACGGAGCGTTCCACGCGCACCAGCAAGCTCCTCATCGCCAAGGCCACGCCGGCGGACTCGGGCAACTACACCTGCTCCCCGAGCAGCTCAGGTGAGTAAACATCACCACCCCAGCCAGCACCTGCCATATGCCATATGCCACATGCCAAATGCCAATTTCCCTGCATCGACACACTCGGAAAATTCAAATGCGAAACTATGCATTATTATTATTTCATGTTTCAAATTGCTGTCTGAATAACAAACACGAAACCTAAAAATAAGACCTTGCTTAAATTTTAATTTATCTGAAAACAGAATAAACTCTCATTGAACTGAACTTTTTCCATTGTCTAAAAATATAGCAAAATCTGTGTGAAGTCTTATGAACTTTTGAGCCTGTGATGTCAGAGAATGAGGACATGACTGATTGTTCATCAGCAAAAGTTTAACGGGTGGGCGTAGAAAATTATTGATACCTTTTATAAATAACCTGCTGTGTGGGTCTTTTGTGTGTCAGCAATTGTAAATAGCCTTGAGTTTACCCATACACATGATATCAATTGACGATATGAGGCGTTTAGGCAATTATTACCTTGAAAATACAAGTATGTTGAGTCAATATACAAATTAAGACATCGTTAAGGAAGTTTCAGTTTACAAAGGATTCATTCATGCATTTTAAGCTTTTAGTTTACTAACGCATTATTTTAATTTGAAATTTGGTACTAATAAGCTTCAAAGAAAAAGTTTAAGCATAGATATAAAATTAATTCATGCACTTTGAGCTATGTTTATGAATAATTTCACTCTCACATTTTAACCGACTGAGAAAAAGAGGGACCTAGCTGATAAGTTTCTTTGATCCCATTTTCAATCAAGTCCAGGAGCAACACATGTTGTTAACTTCTACCAAAACAAGAACCAACCTTGCGAACTCTATAAAAAATTGTTTCAAAACTTGATTATTAAACAGAGAACTTACTAATTAAGAATACATAAAACAACATAAAATATTTTGTTTATAAACAAAACTTTGTTTTAGTTCTAGTTTTAAAAGTGGAGCTTTATTTGTTTAGAATTCAGAGAAACAAAGCGGCTTAAACTCTCAAAGGTGGTTCTTCAAACTTGGCTGACTTTCGCCTATTCATAAATTAAAAAGTTGGTGGCAAGAATTTTCCGAGTGTGTGCCCCCCATACTGGCAATTAATGCAACTATATTCGTGACCTGCGGCATTTCCATCCTCCAACCACGTACCATGTACCACCACCACCTGCCACCCGTCACCCACTGCCTCCTTTGCAATCATGCCACGCCACACTCATTTCCCATTTCCCTATTTTCTTTGCTCTTTCCCGCTCTCATTGCAGACTCCGCCTCGGTGGTGGTGCACGTCATCAACGGGGAGCATCCGGCCGCCATGCAGCATGGCAACAGCAGCGCCAGCTGCCTGCGCCTCCTGCCGCCGGCCACGTCCGTGCCTTTAGCCTTTGCTGCCAGGATGGCGATGACAGTGGCGGCTGTCGCCTGGAACTGCAACTCCAACTACTATGGCAACGGCAACTGGAACTGGAACTATAACTGGCACTGGCACAGGCACTGGAACTGGAACTGGATGCTGGGTGGCCTCTGGGGCTGGAGCTGATGCAACTGGGCTCCATGCTGAATGCAGAACGCCGAACGCTGAACGCTGAACGCTGAAAGCCACTGTTCCAGCCTAGTTGGGACTGGGCCCCGCTCCTCCCCAGGTGCATTTAATGAGCGCGGAGGAGCGTCTTACGAACTAGTGTACATATACAGTGTGTCCTTTAAACGAGTATTATCTATAAGACATCCCGAGGAGAGGCAGGCAGGCAGTATTACGAACGAACTTTTAATCAAGACAGCACAGTCAACGGGAAGAGTCCAGGCCCCCCAGCACTATATACATCCCTTACTTATCAAAAAACGGAAACAAGGAACCCATAAATAGCAGCTGCTTCGCCCCCATTCATCCGACCATTTCAAAAGCTGAGTTGTGTGTTGTCATTGTTTTAATTTGGAATTCATTTCTTTTTCGAATGCCACTGGGAGGGACAGGCATACATAATAATCATTATACACGGGCCAAAAGTCAGCAATTATAGTCAACCTTTCGGTGAAACAGAGTTTACCACACTTTATAGTTTACAGTTTACAGTTTACAGTTCCCAGTTTATTTTGTTTTAACAGAAGCAGAAATGTCCGATTGTATATACAAGAAAAACACACAAATACTACAGAAACAAACATTTTAGGCCTTCGATTGTTATTTATTTATACCGAAATCATACACCCAGAAACACACTCCTACATACACACACACACCCCTGCACGATATAGGGGGAGGTAACCCTCGGCTATATATAGATGGTTATTCAGTGTATATGGATAAGTTTTTATCTGGTTGTCAGCCGCGAAATTGTTCTACGTAGTCCATCATCTAGTTACTGTGTAAAATATTCATACTTGATAATTGTACATTTAGAGGTCGGTTTTAAGCGGTCTTGATAAGACTTTTAAGCAGTAAGAACGAACGGAAGCACTCGGTTCACAACCAAAGAAAATAGTCAAAGAAATTATGGAAATTATTAAACTAAACGGAAAGGTAAATGAAGCTAACCTAAGCAGAGTCAAAGTATGTTTTTCTGTTTAAACAAAAGCTAAAATAAACGAACAATGTTTCTCCATAATAAATGAAAATATGGTTATGGTTAAAAAAAAATCACTGTGTAAATGGTCTCTCATTAAGAGGGTGGGGCTTAACGGCCCACAAAAACGAGGGAGAGGCTGCTGAGAGGCGAAAGTTTTTATCCTATTATGGCAACATTTAATTAACGTCCGATTTGGTGGAACGAACGAACGAACGCGTCGCCGAATCGCTTCGATCATCTTCATTATGCATACGCCACGTTGGCCCGCAAATCCGACAGCTTCTGGCCACATTCGGTGGCAGCCACAATCCATGGCCAATACCACTATGCTCTACCACTGCCACGCTCGTTTTGCCCCGAAAATGAAAGACTAATTAAGCGGCTTATTTGCGCGTATTAATAGACCGACTTGTGGTCAGCTCAGCATGTGTTCATCGGTGGTGTAGCATAGTAAATGGTGCCGGAGTTTGTCCAACAAAAACTGGAGCTGAGCTGGTAAACCCAACTAGCAACTAGCAGGACGGTGTGGCTAAACCAACATGTATTTATATTCCGATTTAAAAATAGGAAAAAAAAGGAGACCGAACACCCCACGCAAATAGCCGAGCAGCTATACACACAATCGCAACGCACGGGGGAGCTGCAGATACAGATACAGCCAAAATGGACTTATAAAACTGTACGGTGGCAGCTTACGTGACAGGGGTCAGGAGACAGGGGCGCAAAAAGGGTGCAAAAGTCAAGGAAAATAAATGGTTTTTCAGCTTTTATTTACTTGAGAGACCGGGTGGGGACCGGTGGAGACCGGGACCCTTGGCGGTATGGGAACTGGGGAAAAAGGGAATGCAGCCAAGGATGATGCGACGCCGGCAGTGGAATCAATGTAAAGGTCACAATTTATTCAATTGCCTTTTGCCAAGATATTTTTATGGCGTGTTCATGTGCCTGGACTCTCTCTTTGGCCAGAAGACCTAATCCCAAATCACAACGGAATTACAAACTGGTAATGGTTATGTAGCGGAAGAGAGAGCAGAGAAAACAGGGACTCAGGAGCTGGGCAGAGTGAGGACTTTGTGCCCCCAAACCCCCGGCACATAATGGCCAATTGATAGCCAAAAGGCATTAACACGCCAAAGAAATTCCCCAGGCTAAAACAGAGATGTTGCCAAAAAAGCGAGCAAATTTTCAGCTAACACACACACACACACTTACACATTCGCCCCGAAAAGAGAGCCCGACCGAGAGGGAAAATATTAAGTTCAAATGTAGCAGAAATCCAAAATACGTGCCATGACATAGAAAACAGCATGGCCAAAAAACAGGGGCAAGCGGCTAAAGGGGGGGATGCGGTACGGTGGGGACTATGGGACAACGTAAGCAATCCCCGGGCCACGCCCCCATTTGAGCCACCCCTCTAAATGAAACTAACTCCCCTGTTTAGGTGCGGCATGCGTGCGTGAAGCGAAAATCACGTCCAATTCGATGCGTTGCCCCGAGAATTTATTGGGGAAAGGTCAGAATATTCATACATCGATATTTTCAGAGGCTTCCACCTGATGCGAGTGTAAGTATGGATACATGGAAAGAAAAAGAAAAACGCTGTAAATCGAATCATCAACTTATTAATATTAGGCGCAAGCACGAGTAAAGATTCGAGGAAAAAATCAATAAGTGGGATGTTCCTGGAAGCTGTCTTTACTTTTTAAAGACAAGAAAAGTAGGGGTCATGAAACAACCTTACATAACTTTTGGGATGTTTTTGTGGGTATTTTGGTAATAGTTAATTATAGGTTTGGATAAGGTTGGATGACATTTCAGTGGCATGTTTGCTGAATGTTTATGACAGCTTCAACACGTTACCTAAACATTTTTAAAAGCAAATTTTTCAGCAAACAATTTAAACTGGAATCAGATCAGTCAATAGAATAAATTTGGGTATTTAAAGATAAACTAATTTTTTCCAGAAATAAAATCCTCCTAGAATTTAAATTCAACCATTTTTGTTTCAAGAAAACCATTTATCATACAAAATAAATAAGGTTCTCTAGTTTTTAAATTCAGTCTCACATTTCTCTCTGTGCATATTGAATGTGTGCTTGTGTTATTGAAAAATTCAATATGAAATGCTGGCAGCCATGTGGGAAGACTTAGACAAATGGCCACCCGTCTCGTAAGCGGATGAAAATGACTTACAATACGCACTGTGCGGACCTGAGCAACTTATAGCAGGTAGCTGGCCATGACTGCAGGACTCCTAAAAGCGTTAAATATTTTACGATATGTGCAACTTGGCTGCCTTCGAACACACTTATGTAGCACCCACCCTTCCAGGCTCCCTCCCCCCCTTTTGCGAGTGGTGTAGTTAATGGCACAGAAACGTACGAACGAATGAAGTGCAACAACAACAGCAACTGGCAAGGGGTTTTTGGGGGGAGAGGGGAAGGCAACAACATCAACAGGAAACTAGAAGCAAAACAGCAAATAAATTTATGAAATTTTCATCAACATTTTTGACAACAACAGGCGAAATTCAAGACACAGCGGGCGGTCGGTCGGTGGGTGAAGAAAAAACATTTGTAAAATGGAATATAACAGGGAAATTGTTTAAATGCATGGAAAGTGCTCCTCAAGTGCGATAGGAAGCAAAGGAAAGTGGAGCACACATTTTTAAGGCACTTTGGAAAATATTTATTCGCTTTGGTATTTAGGTATTTTTATGGCAATCTGTTTTAAATAATTGAAATTATTTTACTTCGCGTGATTAATTTGTTTTGGGAAGAACATTGTATCTTTTTGATAGATAGAATAAATACCATAGTTTTTAGGACCTTTAAACCAGTTAGATATACCAAATAACCATCTCTTAAATCTACTAAAAAAATCTCACTTACCCTGGAGTTCTACAAAGTTTTCATAATAACAATTTCTTTGAAAAATAAAAATGTTAAGAACCGAAAAAATGTGCTTTGAGAGCTTCTAACCAGGTGTACATTCCTGGAAATACCTCGATTGATTCATTTGAAATTAGATTCTCCTGGTAACGTAAGAGCCATTGAATGTAATCGGTGAAAAGCAGTGAATTTTTTCCTGTGCCCAGGAAACTGGGAAAAATCAAAGAACGATGGGGAGTAACAAGCAGCAGCAGCAGCAGCAGCAGAAAAGCACACGCAATGGCAAAGTGAAAACAACAACGACAGTGGCTAATGAAATCTCTCAAGTGCATGGAAATTGCTAATCCGATGTGAGTGTGTGTGTGTGTGCGTGCGAGAAGTGTCGGAAATGGTGTTTAAGGGGGGGAGGTGCTGGGAAAGACTAAGCCAAAGTGAAATTACTGTGGCCAATTGCATGGAAAGTACGCACAGGATGCACCCGAAAGTTGGCACAGTAGTTAGCAAGGGATTAAGCTCATCGGGCACAATCAGATAATCCCAATTCCTTCGCTTCTTCTCCCTTCCTTACAGAGAGAAATTACAAATGAATTAAGCACTTAAACTTTTATGATAATTTCTCAATTTCATTCTCAGTCGAAAGGGACTTCCTCTGCTCGGTCTCCTTCGGATTCGTTGCTGTCTTCGACTTTGGTTGATTTATGATCCACTTCCACATTTGCATAGATACATTTATCGATATTCGCAGGTAAGTAAACAAAGCCAGATGAGGGTGGCCCCCAGAGCCCCCATCTCTCCGGCCAGCCAAATATTTGCTTAGCTCGGCGCGGGGGCGGAGCCGGGGGCTTGCCAAGTTAACGTTAACGTTAACCGTATCGGCCCTGGCATCGGGCATAATCCTGTTGGCTTTCCATATTGTTTTTGACAGCAGATCAATCGAGTGGAAAATGTTACGGCGGGCGGTTGCGGGGCCAATCGGTTTATCGGATATCGCGATTATATTTAGCCGATAATTGGCCCACAAGCGGCAGTCCCGTCGTCCTCGTCGCCCCCCCCTGAGAGATCCTGGATAACTTTATAATGTGCTCGAGCACAAGGTGAGATTGCATTAGGAGCTGTCAATGAATGGACCAAACTCGAGACAAAGGCAACCACAAAATTGCTGAGAGTTTTGCAAAGCAAAACAAAGGCACCAGCAGCCGCAGGGGAGGGGTGCAAGGAGCCAGGATATTTCTAGGGGTCTTCTACCAGCAGCATAGCCAAGCAGCCACTTGTGGAGAGGGAGCCGAGGTGGACCGACAGAGGGGAATGCAGGTGGAATGGCAAGCAATGTCAGTTTGTCCCTACAATTGGCCCAAAGCGTTTGCTATTGTGTAGATCCTCCCAGCCCCCCCTATTTTCTCCAACACCCCTCCGTGGCTGCTCCTTTCTCTGCTTTTGCTCTGGCCATGTTAACCTGTCCCGGCGCCCCCATTACCCCAGGAGAAGTCTTGTACAGAGAACAATGGGGGAGAGATAGTTTTTAATGTTTCAGAAAGATAATTTCCAGAATTTTTTAATAAAACCTCTAAAAACTTTAGCAAACCTCGACAGTTCCTTAATTTTATTCTAAAAATAACTCATCCGCAATGTCTTTCCCATTTTCTTCCAGTGCCAAATATAGAGAAAGCGAGAGACTTTTCGGCTTGAAACGATAAACAGGCTGACAATGCCAGCTGGAGAAGCTCCTTGTGCTTCTGCTTATGGCTGCCACGACTGTTTGTGTGTGTGGAATCCTGTAGAAAATACTCAATGCTCTCTATATACCGAAAAATCGTCGTTTATTCTCTGGCCACCTTACTCCCCTCCCTCCCCCCCATCACCACAAAGCTAAAATTTTTCCCCTTAACCCATACTTCACTCCTTTTTGCCAGCGGCGGCGGTGCTCACTCTACGGTGGCACGTTTTTATGACTTAATGCTAACAAACGCATCCACGTGCCAAAATAATCGTCCGACTCTTTCTGTTGACTCGGCTCATTGTGCTCGGGCTTTAGACCAATTTTGTTGCCAATACGTTTTAGCCATGTTTGTACAAAACGCAAACGGATTTGCCAATGTTTATGCCATGGATTATTGCGGCATGCGTAAGCCTGTCTACGTGTATTGG